CTCATTTTATCGCTTCAAACCGTTTTGGATAGTGAAACCCAAACCTTCCAGTCTCGATAGTTGTCAATGCGAAGCTCATACAAATTTTGAATTTCTTTTACAAGCGCTTTTTAATAAAAAAGTTATTCCAACGAAAAACCTAAAAAATTACACCGTGAAGAAAACGAAAAAATGTGCTAAACAAGTTCAAGCTGCTCATTTCGGTGCATCTAAAGAACAAATTGCGTTGCACACAGGTACTTTTTTTTACAAGAATGCAAAAACAGATGAAATGGAGCATGTTTCCTTTGGTACAGTTTCTGATGAATGTCTGCGTCATGATTGTTCAGCAATTTGGGCCCATATGATGCCAATTTTAGATCTTATGGGACTCCACGTTCCAGATTTGCAGACAGTGCATTTTCAGAGTGATGGCCCTAGTTCTCAATATAAAAATAAGTCAAATTTCTATCTAATGACTTATTATTTTCAACAAATGGGATTAAATAAAGCAACATGGAATTTTTCAACTGCGGGTCATGGGAAGAGTTATGCAGATGGAATTGGGGGATCGATTAAAAATCAGTGTAACAGAGCCGTAACTTATGGAAAAGATGTTTTATCCACTCAAGATATGATTGATATTGACACCTTTTCTGAAGAAGCAAAGGTTAAAATGTTTTCAGTATCCAGGAAACAAATCGAACATATAGATCTTTTAATTCCTAAAAATCTGAAAGTTGTGCCGCACACGAGATCTATTTATCAAATTATTTGGGAAAAAGAAAATTTGAATACTATTTATTTGAATAGTTTGTCCTGCGCTCTTTGTGCAAATAATCCACCTTGTAGTCATTTTAGCTTGCCCGTAAATTAAAAAGGAAAAAACAGGATCAAATTTTTTTTCAACAATTCGTTAAATTTATTTCACATTTCATCTTCAATAGTGTTAACTTCCAGTATTTGAATGTTATTATTTTAAAAACGCATTATCTTTTCAATTAAAATATTTATGATCCTTTAAATAATATTTTTCGATTCAAAAATTTTATTATAACAATTCACTTCCTTCATAATGTAATAATAAAAATTTTTTGTAGAATTTTTAATAAAAAGTTCTTTTATATATTTTAAGAATTCATTCAGAAACAAAATTTATGAATTAAATAATAGAATTAACTATAATAATCTTCGTATTTTATTCTTTCATTCTGTCTGTCCACACTTTGAAGTTAGTTTTTGTGTATGCTTTTGTTTTTTTCCTTTAAAACATATTGCTTGACAAATCGGAAATATAAAAGTATTTTTCATGATTTATAATAAAATACTATTTAAAATTGGAAAATTAGAAAATTCAATTTTGTTTATTATATGTTTTTTATAACAAATTTCGTTTGACTGATATAAATTATGCAAATTTCATAACTTTTTATTTATAAAAAATATTATAAAATTGTTAATTGTTTAAAAATTATGATTAAGAAATATACCCATTTTATGCTAATTCATATTTCCGAATAACAATATTGTTCACAAACTGATTATTTTCTTTGTAAAAAATAACATTACATATTCCCGTTTCTTAATATTTTTGTAGAAAATTGTCAATTTTCGTAAGGAAATAATTTGCATCATTTGTATTTCTTAATTACAATTACTTTAATAAAATTCAATTTTTTTTAAAATAAAGGAAAAAAGAGTTTCTGAAGTATATTTGTAAATTAGAAAATTTAATTGAAATGAAAATTTTACTTAAAAAAATGTACCGTTACATTTATTTATGAATTTCTTTAATTGTGAAATTATTTGCAAACATCAATAACTCTTTTTTTAAATAAATATTTAATTATTAATACTTTTCCATATGAATTAAAATTTTTAAAAATTCCAAATTCAAATCTTTTTGAAATTAAACAACTTATATAATAATAATCTTTATTTCAATTCATATTTTATTTTTATGAAAAAAAATTTTAATTAAAAATTTTTAAATTCTATTATTTTTTGAAATTGCAAATTTTATTTAAAAAATTTGCGAGAAGTTTTGCTAATTTAAAGTAACATTTGCAAGAAGTTTTGCTAATTTACAATATCATTTGTAAAGTTTTTATTACATCATTTTGAATCCCTTTTATTATTTAACTTAACATTTTTATTATTATTTAATTAAATATTCAAGTAGGTTCTTAACAAAACGAATAATTATAACATTAATAAAATCGTAGGAAGACCATATCACAGTTTACTGAAATTGAAAATTTAATATTCAGTAATAATAATATATTTTTCAAAAAACAACAATAAAATGTCAGAAATAAATTGTTTACGACCAATTTTTTTTGTCCAAAATTTAATTTAATTTAAATTAAAATTAATTATTAATATAATTCCAAAATTAGTATTAGTATTAATTAAAATTGAAAATTATAACTTAATCCATTATACTTTATTAATATCCTAACCCCACTTTGTTCTGCACGAAATTCAATACATACTTCAAATATAAGTAACTAATATACACTTTTTAAGATCAGAAATTAATTTACAGAAATTAATCAGAAATTAATTTTTACTTAACATTCTTAATTACTAATATACTTATTTCTGACATTTCGATTTTTTTTACACAAATTTAAACAAGTCTAGTTTAAACAGTTGGCAACACTTGTCTTCAAGCACGTTCATGACGTCAGCACGAGCGCGGCACGTCCACGTTCACATACGAACGCGTCCATTGTAGAACCGACTTTAGAAGTCAGCGCGGTAGGGACGCGCCGAGAGCTGCTGGAAGCAGCGACTTTCTATTTTCGAATGTTCTAGGGGCCCTTTTATGATTTAGGAAGGGTCCTTTTCATTGTATCCCTTCCATTCTTGGAGAAGAATATTATGGCCCAGGAATTGCTGATTAAATAGTAAGTTGAAAAATTTTTAAGTTATAATACACTATAAAGTTAATTTTTTTCTTCTTTTGCGTTTTTCTCGAAACCACAATTTTCGAGACGGTGTACACGATAACTGAAAAACTATTCAATCGATTGACTTGAAAATTAATATACATCTTCCTAAATAGATTTTCCACAGAGTGACGTGAGATTTTTTTGATTGAAAAAAAAAATAAAAAAAAAAATTGATACACGCCAATAGTTATATCTCCGCCATTTTTAATTAAAAACAATTTTTTTTAATATTTATAAAGCTCAATATATGTACTAAAGCATCAATAAATGTAAAGAAGTCCTATCTCAAACAGTTTTGTCAAAAAATTCCTAAAAAACCATCCGATTTTCATGCGTTCAGGGTGGCGTAACCCCTTAATTGATCCTATAGGATGTATAATTTATTTCAAGATTGTGAAAATGTTTCCAGGAGATTCTAGGGATATTATTATTATATTAGTAGGATATCCTAAGGATATCTTTAACATATTCTAAGTATAGCCTAAAGATATCTTCAGAATATCCTGTAGTTATCCTCATGATATCCTGAAGATATTCTTAGGATATTATGTAGTCATCCTCGGGATATCCTGAGTATATCCTGAAGATATCCTCTGGATATCCAAAATTACGTATGTTCAAGATGTCCTCAGGCTATCCTTTTGTTATGAGGGGCAATGCAGACCTCTACTTTGCAATCTAAAAGCAATATCTAGTAATGTCACTTCCATGAATGATAATTTTGATAATCGATAAATTAACCAACGATAAATTTTCAATTATTTGCGAAAGCTAGTTTTTATTTTTCTGTCGCTGAGCAAAAGCGAAGATTCCGAATTGCGGGAATGCGGCATCAGCCGGTCGCACTAGGCCGCGTCAGCCAATCAGAGCGTCGATCGCTCCCACTGCGCGAGTCTCCCCACTTAACCGCGCCACAGAGCTCGGAGACATAGCTCTCGTCGTCACTTCTTACCGAGCTGCCTACCTGCACGGTCGCACCACTCAAACCTCCCGCTAACAGTGTTACGAAATAAAATAAATTCATCCGTTTTGATTTTAACTAATTTTAGTTAATTCTAAATTTTTACTTTTTCCCATCCATTTAACTTTCGGGTTTTATTCAACGCGCTTTTTGATTCATTAGTTTTTTCCATCCACCACACATTTTTGGAAACTCTTGCGAGGGTCCAAAATTTCCGTTCTTTTTCTCCTTTCCTTTTAAGAATTTTTAGAAACTTTCTGAGGGTCTAAAATTCTTAATCTTCCTTTCTCCGAGTAACACAAACTTCGGAAACTCCCGGAGGGTCCGAGGTTGTGTTTTTCCTTTATTCCCTGTCATTTCCTTTCCCGGCGATTTTTGGAAACTTCCTGTGGGTCCATAATCGTGTCCCCCCTTTTTTTAGACCTTTTTTGGAAACTCGCCCAGGGTCCAAAAATTATTATTTCTTTTTTTCAAATCAATTTTTATTTTTATTCATTTTTTTATTTATTTTTTTTATTTTGGCTTGCGCGTATATTATTTCCCCAATTAGAGAAATCTTCGGAAACTCACGGAGGGTCCGAGATTTCTTTCTCTTTGAATTTGCTCCCTAAATTCGTAATTTTCACCGAGTTTTCGGAAACTTGTTTTTAACAAGGGTCCAAAATTCGTTTGGTATTGTCAAAGCGCAAAATTGACGGTATCAATTTTGGCGCCCAACGTGGGGCATCGCAGAAAAGATTTTCTAGAGAAAATCACGAACCCGATAAATTCCACGCCACACATTCTCACTTCCGGGAGTGAGACGAATTTCAATTCGACAAAAACACCCGGTGGCGCTCAACGGACCATCTTTCTTTCACAAATGAAAGAAAAAACCTCATTATATCCAGCAAGTGACAATATAGCACGCGCTATAAGCCGCGAAATTCAAGACTTATTGTGTAAAAACATCGCTGAGTCAACCGAATCACCACATTCTGATCGAGTGATTAAAATAAAAAAAGATCACAAAAGTCTTAGATTTTGCGCAGATTTTCGAAAAATTAACTCAATCCAGAAGAGTGAATAGTTTTTTTTCTTTTTTTTCTCGTATATTTCGGTGCATGGAGCCGAAAAAGTACAATTTATCATCCGACGAAACCGGGTTTACCAACGTTTACACGGACGGCGCGTGTCTTGGAAACGGAAGATCTTCACCGAAGGCCGGAATAGGCGTATTCTTTGAAACCGATCATCCTCTGAATATTTCAGCACCTGTCGACGGCAAACAAACGAACAACGCCGCTGAGCTTCAATCAGCAACGAGTGCCGTTTTACAAGCACAAAAAGCCGGAATTACGAAATTGCGAATCAATACCGACTCTCAGTACGTGATCAGAAGCTGCACAGAGTGGATACCTCGTCGGAAAACAAACGGTTGGGCAAAAGCGTCAGGAAAGCCAGTCGAAAACAAAGAACAATTGCAAGATTTAGATCGAGCAATTTCGTCACTGGAAGTAGACTGGAAACACGTTCCAGGACACAGCGGACACCCGGGAAACTCGCAAGCCGACGATTTGGCAAAAAGAGGAGCCAAGCGGTAAAATTTTCAATGACGGCTAGAACACCTCAAGAAAAAAATTTGCGCTCTCGTACGGTGTTAATAAACACTCCACCCGGTACGCGTAACAACGTTCCGCAAGTATCGACAGATTTATTCACGTCCAACTCGAAACAAGCTCACTTAAGCGCGATGGATGATGAAACAGCGTCCCACAATCATCAAAACAAAAACAGTTTCGGCTCAGGATCGTCATCAACCGAAGATTTAAATTATATTTCACCACCTGGAAGTGAAATTCTTTTGAATCGCTCGTCCGCCAGCGTAACTGTAAATAATAATTCGTTAAACATGACGACTGATTCAATCGTGAGCACTGCACCGAATTCATTGCCAATGATCACTACATCGCTCATCGGTGGAGTATCGACACAAACTGGTCTCAACCTGGCAACAGTTTCGACAATCTATCACGCTCCTGGACCATCCGGAATAATGACTACCAGGATAATAGGCACTTCGGAACCAACAAGAATGGTTTACTCGGGTTTACCGAGTTTACTAAACAGCTCAATTTCCATTCAAAGTCCTCCACAGAGACCTTTCGCGGAAATTGGACAACAAGGAGCACGTTATGCAGAAATTGGACAACAAGGAGCACGTTATGCGGACCTCGGTGTGATTCCCAGATACGATCAATTTTTATCTGACAATATTGGACCGAGAAACACAAGGCCTATAATCCAGGATCCGATTTTTTCCCGCAATTCCGGTTATGGATCTCAGGCGACAAATTCCAATATGCCGAGTTCAGTTCCAGTATCTAATCAGGCTCCTGGAAGAAACGTTAGTAATTCACAGATTCCACCAAGGGTAGAGCCCCCCCAGAATGCTTATTACCCACCAGCACCAGTACCCGATCCAAATTGGTACGCGTGGCGCGCATTCATGGAGGCACAACGTAATTCTGTACCTGTACCAGAGTTCTTTGGAAAAGAGCACGAAGATCCAGTCAACTTCTTACGAGAAATGAACAACTACTTCCAGCTCCTGGGAACGCCTGAAACAAACAAAGTTCGCGTAGCAAGCCAAGCTCTTCGTGGTGAGGCAGAAAAGTGGTGGGAGATGTACAAAGGAGTCCCCTTTGAGTGGAACCAGTTTCGAGACCTTTTACTGCGCCAATATAATTCTCCTGCGATACTCGGAAAATTACAAGCCCAGCTATTTTCCCTACGTTAAGGGGAAAAAGAGCCCGTGGGAGTTTTTCTTCAGAAGAAATACTTACTTTTCCGGAGATTGCGACCTGGAGAAACAGAAGAAGTCATCGTGCATACTCTAATGGAGCTTCTGAAACCAGCGATCCGACACGCAATACGCGCTTCAAATCCTCCGGACTGTGCTACGCTGCTGACCAGAGCTGTTGAATCGGAAAAGGACGAACTGGATTTGCTACGAAGCCAACCGCGCAGAGAAGAAAGGAAAATCGTCGAAAATCCAGCTGCTACGAAAAAGTATCCTCCAGACTGCTGGTACTGCCCTGAAAAGCATTTGCACAAAGACTGCGCGGTTTACAAAAAGCAGTTAGAGGACCGTAAAAACACAGGTCAGGAAAACTGGCGACGGGCGGTGGATGCACCGACCACCGCCAACAACAACAACAACCAGCCGAAACATTAACTTCGCTTTATCTGACTCTCCAAAATCATCGAAAATTACCGCGCGTATTGACCTTTACCAACGATCAAGAAATAGTTGCGATCATCGACACAGCAGCAACCGAAAACTTTATTCATTCCTCTAAATTAAATTCAGCGCAACTCGCGTCTCTCGCCCCGAGTTTCGACAAGGTAAGCTTGGCAGCGCCCGGAACGAGTATGAAAATCTTGGGACGAATCACGCTCCTTGTTCGAATTAATACACAAGAGATGAATGTTGAATTTTTTGTCTGCGAACAGCTGAGAGAAGAAATGATTTTGGGTTTACCCTGGATGGAAGATCAACAAACAATAATCGACATTCCAGGAAAAAGAATTTACGCGGGTAAAGAGAGTCGATTCACAATATCTTTCCACCAACAATCGAAACCACGAGACCAAATCGACGTGGAAAACGAAATCGCCATGGAAAATCTTATTCACGATTTTCCACCAGAATATGAAGGCGAATTTCTCGAAATCGTACAACCTTGCGCCACCACAGTTGCGCCCGGTCCGAGTCTAACACAAACTCGATCAACACGTCACAAAATCGAATTAACCGATAACCGTCCTTTTCGGTTAAGGCCGTATCCATCGTCAGCTGAAAAGCGAAAAGAAATGCTTGAGCAAGTTCAAGAGATGCTTTCCAACGGAGTCATCGAACCGAGTACGTCACCTTATTGCTCCCCCGTGGTCTTAACGAAGAAAAAGAACGGAAAATTTCGATTCTGCGTGGATTTTCGTCGCCTAAATTCGATCACACAAGACGTAAATCACACTTTGCCCAGGATCACCGACTCTCTAAAAGAACTCGGAAACGCGAAAATATTTTCCGTGTTAGATTTGCGCTGGGGATACTGGCAAGTACCGATGGATGAGAATTGTAAACAATTTACCGCATTCTCGATCCCAAACGGCGGGACTTACCAATTTCGCGTCATGCCTTTTGGCTTAAAAGGCGCTCCGAACACGTTCCAAACATTGATTAGTCAAACCGTGTTACGAGGATACGTAAATCGCTTCTGTATGGCCTTTTTGGACGATATAATCGTTTATTCACAAAATTGGACCGATCACATGCGTCATTTAAATCTCGTGTTAGAACGATTAGAGATTCACGGTCTAACTTGTTCAATCGACAAATGTTTTTTCGGCCAGAAAGAATTAAAATATTTGGGCCATCAAGTTTTAGGAGCAAATAACGAGCCCCAAGAACACCACGTTCAGGCTATTATCCAAGCCGCTCGTCCAACCAGCAAAAAAGAGCTACAAAAATTCCTCGGCATCTGTGGTTGGATACGCGAATACGTCCCCGATTTTTCCATGTTATCCGCTCCGCTCACGGATCTACTAGGAAAGAAGGCAGGAAAATGGAAATGGACGGAAGAAGCCGAAAACGCGTTCAACAAAATCAGAGATGCCTTCCAAGCGGATCTCAGTCTCGGACGTCCAAACCCCGACTTGCCTTTTCACCTTCAAACCACAGTAAGTTCCGAAGGAATGGCGGCAGTGCTTTTTCAACTCGAAGAAAGTTCTCGCAACGTGATCAGTTACGCCAGCGCTAAGTTTAGCTCTACCGAAAAGCGCTATTCTGGACTGGAGCAAGAATGTCACGCGGTAGAATGGGCCCTCAAACATTTTCGCCCACAGTTGGAAGCAACTCCTTTTCATCTGCACACGGACGAAAAAGCGTTAAAGTGGCTTAAAAATTCGAAAGAAAACACGCCGAAATTGGGACGTTGGGCACGATTTTTGGACCAATTCCAATTTACGATTCATTCTCGAACCAATGCCGGTCACGAATTAGCTACCGCGCTCGCGCAGAATCCGAGTGATTTACCAAACGAAACCGAAGAAGATAACTTTCTTCTTCCACCTGAGATCGCTCCTCAATTTGATGCACCTTTTCTCGCGCAAATCACGCATTCCAACTTTTTCGAAGAGGTCATCGCTTCGCAACAAGAGGATGAAAACATAATCAGCCAGGTACGACGCTGGAAAAACCTGAAAAGCAAGAAAAATCGAAACAAGGTCGAAGAGAAATTTTTCCGCGAACACATCCTATCGGACGAAGGATTTTTTCGCCGCAAGAATCCCCATGATTCATGGCTACTCGTGGTACCAGAAGTCTGTCAGCAGAGACTTCTGCACGAGTATCACGACGCTAGCCTTGCCGGACATCCAGGCGAAGAAGAGACGTTGCGCGCCGTCCAAGAACTCTTCACGTGGCCCAAAATGGTCTCACAAATAAAAGACTACGTCAAAAGTTGCACCCTTTGCTCCTGCTGTAAGTCTTTTAGGTCGCAGAGCAACAACGAGGTACGCCCACGCCAACCAAAGGCCCCGTGGGATACGGTTGCTGTCGACTTAATGGGACCATACCCACGTTCACCGCACGGAAAACGATTTCTTCTCGTAGTTACCGATCTTTTTTCACGGTGGGTGGAAGCTTTCCCCCTTGGATCTTCAAAAGCCCCCCGTATCACCTACTTGCTCGAAAAAGAGGTGTTCAATCGATTCGGTTACCCCAGAGCCATCATTACCGATAATGGCCCTCAATTTATCGGTAACATCTGGGAAAAAGCATGCGCGAAGTGGAACTGCGAAAGTTGGCACACTCCTCCTTATCACCCGCAGGCGAATCCGACCGAACGGAGGAACCAGGAAGTGAAAAAGGGAATGCGCTTACGACTCGTTGATACTTCTCATCGAAAATGGGACTCTGACATCGCTGACATTTTATTCAATGTCAGAAATCGACGAAATGCGGCAACCGGACGGACGCCGAGTCAGGTCCTATTCGGAACGACTGCCAAGAGACCCGGAGAATGGGTCCTACAGACCGGAAGAAAGGCTGTAAAAAACTTGGAAGAACGTGTTCAGGAAGTCGCTCAACACCAAGCCACATATCAAGAGAAATACGCCGTGTCACCTAAATCAAATAAGAAAATTCCTGTCGGCAGTTTTGTTTATGTACGAACGCACCGCCTGTCGAACAAGGAAAAAGGTTTTCACGCTGGTTTAGCTCCCCGTGGAGAAGGTCTATACATAATAAAACGCCACTGTGGAGGCGAAATCTACGAAGTCGATTTGAAAAATCGACTGGCGAAAATTCATAGTAAGGATCTCAAACGCGCGTTCCCTCGAGAAAGAGCGGAGAAACTTCAAAATCCGGAATTAATCGAGCCAGAAGTACAGCCAGAAAAACTCCTGAATTACCGAGAGTAACTCATAAACATAGACACGGTTACAATTTGCGCTCTACGAAAATAAACGAATCCGAAACGAAAGATTTAAATTTTCCTCGCCTCCAAGTACCGAAAAACGCGCGAGAAACATCGAAAAG